GTGAGTTCAGCTGGAGGCCCGGATCCCACAGCAGCAGCCGCGTGAGTTCAGCTGGAGGCCGGGAGCCCACAGCAGCAGCCGCGTGAGTTCAGCTGGAGGCCGAGAGCCCACAGCAGCAGCTGCGTGAGTCCAGCTGCAGGCCGAGAGCCCACAGCAGCAGCCGCGTGAGTCCAGCTGCAGGCCGAGAGCCCACAGCAGTAGCTGCGTGAGTCCAGCTGGAGGCCGAGAGCCCACAGCAGCAGCTGCGTGAGTCCAGCTGGAGGCCGAGAGCCCACAGCAGCAGCTGCGTGAGTCCAGCTGCAGGCCGAGAGCCCACAGCAGCAGCTGCGTGAGTCCAGCTGCAGGCCGAGAGCCCACAGCAGCAGCCGTGTGAGTCCAGCTGCAGGCCGAGAGCCCACAGCAGCAGCTGCGTGATTCCAGCTGCAGGCCGAGAGCCCACGACAGCGTCTCGTCCAAGTCTGCGCCAAGGCCCTGAGCTGGGAAGGCCCAGGGTCAGTGGCGGAAGCTAGAACATTTGCACCAGGATCCGTGCCTGCAGCTGAGGGCTCCGCCCTGGAGCCAGGAAGGGACCTCAAGGGAAGGACCAGAGCTCCCAAAGAGAACCGCAGCCATCAGTGACAGCGAGGCCTGAGCGCCTCCAACAATGAGAACAGCCGAGTTCCTGTCAGGAAAGCCAGCGAGAGAGACGAGGTCCTCCAGGAGAGCCAACAGCACCACTGACTCAGCTCAGGTGGGGGCTGCAAGGTGCCAGGAGCTCACCCACCACAAACACTTCTCTGCACCTTAGCTCAAGGGGCTGAGGACGTGGCTCCGGGAGGGTTCTTGTCTCACATGCCCGAAGCCCTGGGTTCAATCCCCAGTGCCACCAAGACAAGAAAGCTATGTCTTAGCCCCTCTGGCGGGCACCAGCTCTCAGCTCGCTCTCTCCCAGCTGCACACCAGAGCATGGCGGGCGCTGAGCCGCAGGGAAGTGCAAGGGCCACGAGCAACAGGGTGACAAGCGCGTCCTCCGTCAGAGCACTCTGCACGCTGGGCTGGCTTGGGATCCTTGCAGGCATTACCCAGGCGACAGAGCCACCCAGGTGGAGATACAGGAGGTGTTACGATTCGCCTGAACCCCTTCCTTTTAACAAAGAGTACTTTGCTGCCAGTGTCTAAAAATTGGGACTTTGCTTTTAAAAGCCCCTGGGCCCTTTCAGCGACCGCCCCAGTCAGCAGCAGTCACCCGCCTGCCTCTGCCTCGGGTTCACAGGTCTGAACGTGCCGTGTGCACAGAAGGCACAGTCCAGGGCCTCGTGCCTGGCTCTTCCCACTCGGCCTCGCCCATCCCATAACATGTTTCGAGGGCTTCGTTCTTTCTCATGGCCGAGTACTATTGCGCTGTATGGACAGGCCACATTTTTCCATATGTTTGTCTGATGATGACTAACTGTTTGTTATAGTTTCTTTTTATATTTATTGCTTAAGCAGTTCAAAGTAAAATTTCAAGAAAATATCAAAGTAGAGAAGATGCTGATCTGAACACCAGGTAGCTGCTGGAAGCATCCACAGTGACCAACTGCAGCAGTCACCTTGGACCTGGGCCCACCCCCGAGTATTCAGGGCAGACCCCAGGCCTCAGCCAGCTGACCACGCCAGGGTGTGGGCCGTGGACATCTGTGGGCCTCAGTGGGGCTCAGCCCCATGTCACGTCCCTAGGGAGGAGAGCCGCCAGGTCACGGATTGTCCTCACAGCCCATCAGGCATAGCGGTGGGATGCTGGGTAGTGTGGGAGAGAGGAGTCAGAGGGCTGAGAAGAAGCCAGCAGGCCCCAAAACAATCTACCCAGTGCCCAAAGCTTTCACTTCGATGTCCTCGCCTGGCTCCCTCCGAGGAAGCGCTGGCCCAGGGCGCAGGGAGGATACTCAGGAGGCCCAGACTGCCACTTCTGGCTTAGTGACTGATTCCGGGAAGTCTTTTGGACCTGAAGACTTTCTCTAGTGTATGCGAATAATTTAAATGCAGGGGCCGGGGAGATGGCTCAGTGGAATAAGCGCTTCCCTGGCAAACGCAAGGGCCTGAGTTCAATCCCTGATTCCAACCAAAAAAAAAAAAATTTAAATGCAAAGGCATCCCAAAAGATGCCGACAGACACTAACTCATGCTAAGGCATGCTGTCGGATAGAACAGGTCCCAGGTCCCTTCCGCAAAATGGGGAGGCTCCGGGATTGGGAATGGAGCCTCCAGCGGGGACGCTGGGTGACACACACAAGCCTGCCAGCCCCAGCAGGGGTCACGCTACCCTGAAGTGCTTGCTCAGTGCGTCTGTGGGGCCTTCCTTCCACGCAGCCTGGCTGTGGCAGCCATTCCCGAGGGCCTGCCCATCGTGGTCACGGTGACGCTGGTGCTGGGTGTGCTGCGGATGGCCAAGAAGCGTGTCATTGTGAAGAAACTACCCATCGTGGAGACCCTGGGTGAGGGGACTGTCATGCGTGGGACAGAAGGGAGGCGGGGCTGGCAGTTGGGCAACCTCAGAGTGCACCATGAACTTCAGATTGGTGGTGGCAACTCCTCTTGTCTGAGAGCTGATGTTCTGTGGTACCAGGCTGCTGCAATGTCATCTGCTCTGATAAGACGGGGACTCTCACAGCCAACGAGATGACAGTGACCCAGCTGGTGACATCAGACGGGCTCTGTGCGGAGGTGAGAGGAAGCCTGCGGCGATTCTGTGTCATCCTCTTTTTCCCGTGAATTTTTTTTTTTTTTTTTTTTTTTTAATGTATTTAGTACAGGGTCTACAGAGTCTCACTACACTGATCGGACTCGTGGTGATCCTCCTGTTTTCAGCCTCCCAAGCTCTGGGATTACAGGCGTGCACTACCACACCAGTCTCCATTGCTGGCTCAGCACGCCCCAGGGGCAGGGCTGGCTGGGGCTAGAACCCCTGTCGCTGTGCCTGCCTAAGCAGGTGCTTTAGTCTGCTGAGCTATCTGGCTGGCCCTTTTCCCATGAATCTTTGCAGAGGAAGGGTGAGCGTATCATGGCCCCCGGCTGGCTGCTGAAGTTTCCTTGGTGCCCTGTGATGCCTAGCTGTAGCTCCTTCACTGGCTGCCTCCCTGCCTAGTGGCAGTTGCTATGGGGGCCTGGGTGCAGGCTACAGAGGCTCAGCATCTGCTCTGAGGCTATCTAGAAACACCTGTCCCCTGTCCTAGGCCATCGCCCCTCCAGGGCCACTTACCCTCAGGGAACAGCTTCCTGTGTGCAATTACGGCCCTGGGGCAGACCCCAGAGGAGACTGGGTGGCTGGAGGCCACACCTCTGCTCCCCGTGCCTGCAGGTCAGCGGAGTCGGCTATAGCGGCAAAGGGACCGTGCACCTTCTCCCAACCAAAGAGGTCATCAAGGAGTTCACCAATGTCTCAGTGGGGAAGCTCGTGGAGGTGAGGGAGCAGCACCAAGGTGGCACACGTCACAGGCATACACGGGTCACCCCTTGGGACACCACAGCTGCTCTGGGCTCTGGGCAACCACCCACCCCTCCCTAGGGCTGGGCTGTCAGGCGGCTTCCAATGTGGGCCTGGGACAGAGGAGGGGGCAGTGGAGCAGGACGCTGCTGCCTGACCCAAGAGTCTCCCTGCAGGAAGGCTCCGAGGATGCTGGAAATCAGCACGCAGCAGATGTCCCGCTGCTGTGGGTACTCAAGCATACCCGCTCCCTTCATGGCCCGGCTCTGTGGTCATGCAGCGCCCACTGAGCCTAATTTTCCCATGTCCCGGGTGAGCCCGGGAACCCTGGATGCTGCTCTCAGAGCAGACTGCAGACTTCCTGAACCTTTCAGGCGGGCTGCGTGGCCAACAATGCTGTCCTCAGGGGGAACACGGTGATGGGGCAGCCCACGGAGGGAGCCCTGCTCGCGCTGGCCATGAAGGTGGGTGTCCTAAGCCTGCAGCAAGGTGGCAGGGGTGCACCTGGCTTGGGAGGTCCTGCAGCTCTCTAAGCCCCACCCAGCAGTCCAGAAGGGCTCTCTAGCATCCCGGGGCTCGAACCCTGAGCAGATGCGAGACACAGATGGCACAAGGGCCAGTGAGGTGCCCAGAAGTGGCCTTGGGCTCTGTGGCTCCATAGAGACCCACCTCCACACTCCCAAGGGGGGGTGCGTACTCCGGAGACATTTGTAGGTGGGGAAACTGAGTCTTGAGCTGCAGGGTAACTGGCCTAGGAGCCATCACAGCCCACACACGACAGCAGGCTCAGGGGCAGGCAGCAAGGCCACCACAGGGACTCAGAGGTCCACCCCACAGGCTTCTGTCCCCAGGGGGTTTCAGCAATCACCTTGGGGTCTGACCCAGGATAAAAGCAGAGACTTTTTTACTCTGAATAGGACATTCGGAATCAAATGGCTTTCACCCGAGGGAGCTGGGAACTGGGAGCTGGGACCTCCACCCTGAGGGACACTCTGAGCGACCAGGCCACCCCACGGCCTGCGCCTGCCCAAGGCTGGCCTCGGGCAGCTCACAGGAAATGCTGTGTCCCCCCCCCCCCAGATGGACCTGGGCAGCATCAAGGACACGTACGTGCAGCAGAGAGAGATCCCATTCAGCTCCACACAGAAGTGGATGGCCGTGAGGTGCCGCCCAAGGAGCGAGGCGAGTCCCAGGCACCCCCGCCTGTGCCCCTGCCCCTCTCCCCATGCAGCCAGCAGGGGCCAGAGTGACATCCTGGCCATTGTGCCACCCTCAGAGCCACCTCAGAAGTGCCTCCCTGTGCTGAGCGCCCCACCTGTCACATTAGCTCCCTGCATGTCAGAGGGGACGAAACCCCTCTTCACTGACAGCACCCATCGCCACACCCAACAGTGTGACATGGTGACACACGTGTGTGCAGCGACCCACGCCTGGGTGTGTGTGGTAGGTGACAAGAGGAACAAGCTCTGAGCTGCCGTGCCGCTCAGGGTGGCAGGATCGCATGAGCTTTCCTTACATTCGCCCTTTCAGATGCCTTGCAGCTTTTCAGCTATCTTCAGTGGAGAAAGCACTTGAAGCATCAGGTGCTGCTCCCGCCCGCCCGCCCGCCCGCCCCTTCCCTGGGCCCCAGTGTGGCTGTGCACGTGGCTCAGGTCTCCCCTCTTGTCCCAGGCCCTCTGGGCCCCTCCAGGGCGGCTTGTGAACTCTGAGTGCCTCAAACGCCTATGGAGTCTCACTATGCTGTCAAAATTTGTTGCTGCCAGACAGCAGTGACACATTCTGAAGGAAAATGTGGGCTGCCCGGCAGGGGACCTGAGATGGAAGCCCTTTGTGACTCGACCCCTCCTCTTGCCCGGCCAAGGTGGCATTATTTCCCGTGTCTTTCCCGTGAGGCTGTCCTTCCTGCACTCACTGTGCTGGCTGTGCCCGCCTGCAGGCCGGAGGGCGCTGCTCACGTCGGGAGTGGCACGGGGAGCCCGCCGACCCAGCGCGGCCCACAGGTGCTGAGGGGCTAGTGTGTAACACGGGCTCGCTTAGCAGACGCGCAGGACGAAAGACCCGCTTTCACTAGGCTTGCTCCCACGCCAAGCACCAGGGAACACAATCAACGCAAGTGCACCCTTGGGACAGTGGTATAGACCAGATAGCTGTGCACCTCCAACTCCTAAATCTAAGCCTACCCTGGTGACATCAACAAGGGCACTTCACGGAGTACAGGGTGGTAGTCAAAGATCACCTTCATTCTTTTATGCGCTGCATAGTATTCTACTGCGTGGATTTTGTGGCTTAATAATTTGTCCTGTATCCATGAGCAGCAACAGTCTGCAGTAACTCCGTGGAGAACGCTCCTGTGAGTGTGCAAAGCAGGGTGGCAGTCGCCTTGTGCAGAGGCATCCCTGACAGTGGGTTCTCCCTTTGTCTTTTCCAAGGACCAGGGAGACATTTACTTCATGAAGGGCGCCTTTGAGGAGGTGATCCACTCCTGCACCACGTACAACAACGGGGGCATCGCCCTGCCTCTGACTCCCCAGCAGGAGGCGCTCTGCCTGCAGGAGGAGAAGAGGATGGGCTCGCTCGGCCTTCGGGGTCAGTGGGAGCCCAGCCTGAGGTCCAAGCTTGCAGAGCCTGGCCAGTGGGCAGTGCCGGCACAGGGTCCCGGGGACAGGCGGGCAGCCTGGTGTTGGCGAGCTGGAGCCCCTGTCCCTCCAGAGACTAAATGGCACCTGCTAGTCCACCGGCCAGAGGATCATAGGGGATGCCACAAACACCGATCCCTGGAGGTCAGGGGATGAGGCTCCAGGGTCCTAAGTCACCACATCCACTCCTGCTCCTAGGCGTGGCCCCACCTGTGGCTGGGTGCTGAGTCAAGTGCCGTGGGGTACCAGGCGGCCACGAGGTGGGGAGCCCACCAGGGACCCAGTGGTCTGCGTGGAGCCGGCGCTTGAGCATGACTCATTCTGGTCCTCCAAGGAGGTGGCACAGGGTTGGTGGCCAAAACTGGGGAGACTTGCAGAGCTCCCCACATTCACATGGGAGCTTTTCCCATTTACAAAGAGGCCCTTCTCTGTTGGGCTGACCTCAAAGAAGACCCAGGCATCTTCTAGGATGGGGCTAGGTGACCAGAAGGACTGTCCTCAGCCAGGGAGTATACAGAGCACCTACTATGTGCTAGGCCCCCAGAATGCTGGGGCTGCGAGGTATCTCCCTATTCACACAGAGAAGAAGGTAACCAGGCCGATGGCAGTGGGGAGAAGAGTCCAGGGACAGCAGGCCAGAACAATAGTAAGGTCCCCTGGTATAGAGGGATCACAGAGTTCCAGGAATGAGGGGACAGTAGACACTTCTAGCCCCAGGGAAGGGATGGCAATGGTTTGATTAACAAATGCCAGCAGCCCTACCAGCATGTGGCACAGCATAATCGGCAGGCATCATTAGCATGTGGCACTGGTGCCAGCATATGACACCAGCACTGTCCCTACTAGCATTCCGACTATGCCGCCAAGAAGCACTGCTGGGGGCTTCTTAGTCACAGCCCCATTCAGGTGTCAGCACGGTGACAAAGGCTGGCACCTGTGCTGCCACCTTTCGGATCACTTGGTCCAGAGTGGGCTTGGGTTTGGTGCCACTGAAAACCCACGGCCAAGACAGGACCACAGACAGAGCCCTCTCCCCAGCGTGCTCAGGTGGGCGTTGTTCCTAGCCTTTGGTAGTGACTGCCACACCTGTTGGAGGTGACAAGATGAGATACACAGTGAATGCAGTCAGAACCATCACGGCCCCCTCACAAGCACGGATGCCCCTTGCTGGGCGGGCAGGACTCCAGGCTACTACAGACAGGCCCTGCCTCCTTCCACACACCTTGTTCCAGGCCATCCTCCCTGGCATGTGCATTCGTGTTATGGGGCTGTTGGGAGGGTCTGCCAGTCTGGGAACGTGGCACCCAGGACCACAGATGAGCCCCTGGCCTCAGCAACCCCCACCTTCTTGCCTCTCCACAGTGCTAGCGCTGGCCTCGGGGCCTGAGCTGGGGAAGCTGACGTTCCTGGGGCTCGTAGGCATCATCGACCCCCTGCGGGAGGGCGTGAAGGAAGCAGTCCACGTGCTCTCTGAGTCAGGGGTGTCAGTGAAGATGATAACGGGAGATGCTCTGGAGACGGCCTTGGCCATAGGTAACACAGGGGTCTCGCTCTCCTGCACCTGGCACCGCCACTGCCAGTCTGTCCTCAGGGCACCAGTCAGGAATGTCATGCCCAGCTCAAGGGCTGGAAAAAGCCCAAGACCATAGATCCATGTCCCACCACTCCACCTCCCCAGTGGTCTCTGCTTCCAAGACACCAGCAGGGTCTCCAAAAGGGCACTTGGGCGTCCTCGGGTAAATGGGGACCTACTGTGTGCTTGCCTCACCTCGCCTTCATGGGCAGCTGAGGGTACAGAGTGCACTTTTAGCCTGGTTCCTCCTACCAGCCATGCACCCTTGGGAAATTACCACTCTGATCCGAGGTGTCGTCACCAGCAGAGGACTGGCAGGTTTGCTCCTGCCCCACCAAGGCCGCCCATTCTGCAGGCTGCCGTGCACTGGCATTGACACAGCCTTGTGCCACGAAAAGGTTGCAGGCTTTAGAAGCAGATAGAACCACGTCAGGTCCTGGCACTGCGGCCTCGGGTTTCTGTTTCCCTTCTTTAAACTGGGCAGAATGAGGCTCTGTTGTGGGTGCTGTGGGTGGAGCCGAGATCCTAGGGACACAGTAGGTGCTCAGTAAATGGTACCCGTGCTTTTATTTCCATCATTCCTGCTGCCAAGATGGAGACTGACCCAGGTAGGTAGGGTGACAGGCAGTGGCAGGAACCACTCCCAGGCCTTGCACGAGCCCCCAGTGTGGATTCTCTTGCAGGAAGAGACATCGGCCTGTGTGATGGGAAGCTGAGGGCCATGTCAGGGGAAGAAGTGGAGAGCACAGAGCCGGACACACTGGCGGGCCACATCCAGGAGGTGGGCTCCCCCGAGGGTCTGTGCTCCCTTTGCCAGGAAGCGATGCCCAGCCCCCACACTGAAGGGAGAGGCTTGACTGCCTTATGATTACCGGGGTCAGTCAGCTGGCTCCACAGAGGGAGTACGTGGTGGAGGGAAGATGCCGGTGCATGGGGATCGGCAAAGGGTGCTAGAGAGGAAGGTGAGGGGACAGGCACAGAGCCCAGGCCGCACCCCACGACCCACATGGACACGATCCGGGGCATGTGCAGCCGCCGTGTGGGGTGCCCATCACTGCTCTTTTGTGCTGCCGTATTCAGGTGTCTGTGTTCTTCCGGACCAGTCCCAAGCACAAGCTCAAGATCATCAAGGTATGCCCAGCAAGGCCACAGCTGTGCTGCCGTTGTAGAGCCCCAGGCGCGCGGCTGTGGGACCTCACGGGTCCTGGAGGTCCAGGATGGGTGGCAGCTCCATAGGCCTCACTGTTGTCTGGGCCCAGGGCACAGGCACTGCCCAGCGCCCCAACCCTTGGCCAGAATGCTGCCAGGTGGCCAGCTCTACGTGCAAATGATGCTGGGAAGTGTCACCTCTAGCAGGGCAGACCCACGCCGCGCTAAAGGTGCAGGATGGGGGCCAAAGCCAGAATCTTTGGCAGGTGAGCGTTGTCATGTCAACTGGAGGTGTCGCCATGCGGGTTTTCAGTATTTTTAGTGTAACAGGGTAGAACTCCGTAGAGCTAGCTCTGCAAACACAAGTCATACTCTCTGGCACCTCCTGGATTGGTCTCAGGGACCAGGATGACCTCATCGGCTTGTTCCTCTGCTTATAGCCAGGAACCCTCCTGTCCCCTGTACTCACTGGGCCTCGACACAGCATGCTGAGGCAAGGCCAGCTGCCTTCATAGGGGAAACTGAGGCAGAGAGGCTCACGGGCTGCAGGAGGAGCTGGTGTAGCATCAGGAGGGGGTCTGGACGGGGGTCCTCAGCTGTGGTCCCATGGCCTGTGCTTCCCATAGGCACTGCAGGAGTCGGGGGCAATCGTGGCCATGACAGGGGATGGTGTCAATGACGCCGTGGCCCTGAAAGCCGCAGACATCGGAATTGCCATGGGACAGACGGGCACAGACGTGAGCAAAGAGGCTGCCAGCATGATCCTGGTGGACGACGACTTCTCAGCCATCATGTAAGCACACTTTCGGGGACCTTCTGTTGCAGAAACTCCAGCATAACCAGGAGAAGTCTGTTCTTAGTTGAGGAGTAGTGGTGCATGCCCATAATCCAGACACTCTGGGAGGCTGAGCCAGGAGGGGGGCGAGTGCAAGCCCAGCCTGAGCAACTCAATGATGCTCTCAACGGGGACGTAGCAGCGTGAAGGCCCTGGGCTCATTCTTTTGTGCCAGAGGAGACACACCGTAAGAATCCTAAAAATGGCCCACATGGTGGGCCATAATCCTAGCACTCGGAGGCTGAGGCAGGAGGACCGCCATGCTTTGAGGGCAGCCTGAACTACATAGTGAGACCCTGTGTCAAAAACCAAAAAATGAGGCTGGGGGATAGCTCAGTGGTCCAAGAACCTGCCTGGCTGGACCCAAGTGCTGGCCCTGGAACCCCAATGCTCACCAAAACTGGGCGTGGTGGTGTACTGCTAGGAAGGCTGAGACAGGAGGGTCACTATGAGTCTGAGCTGTGTAGTGAGACCCTGTACCAAATAAATAATTTTTTTTTCTTTTTTTGTGTGTGTATTTTAGGGAAAGGTCTCCAGGGTGTTCAGGGTCTCAATACTAGATCGGACTCATAGTGCTCCGCCTGTTTACAGCCTCCCAAGAGCTAGAATTACAGGCATGCACCACCACGCCCAATCTCCAAATAATTTTTAAAAATAAAAAAACTAACAATGTCTTCCTTCAGTTAAAAATCATAAAATGTAGTGAATATATAGCATTATACTTTCAGATCTTTTGCAAACTCTTAATGAAAATAGGAGGGCTGAGTTTTGCACTCCTGAGTGACCCCACAGAGCCATCTGCAGACACATGAGTGAGGTTTCTCATGCTCCTCTCGCTGGCCCCTGGATCTAGCACTCAGAATTCCTTGGTTTTGCTATCTCAAACTGATAACCAAGAACTCAGCACTCAGAGTGCTGGGCAGGGTGCTAGGTCTAGCTCGAGGCTCAAGCACCACAGGGTGTGCACGCAGGGCTGAGGTGGCTCAGGGTCACCACTGCAGGCCCAGCCTCCCTCTCCTCATCCCTTGCAGGAGTGCAGTGGAAGAGGGGAAGGGAATTTTCTACAACATCAAGAACTTTGTGCGGTTCCAGCTGAGCACGTGAGTGGAGGCGGCAGGGGGCCGCTGGGCACTGGGGGCTGAGGCGGCGGGGCCGACGGCTGCACTGTGTCCCCAGGAGCATCTCTGCCCTGAGCCTCATCACGCTGTCCACCGTGTGCAACCTGCCCAGCCCCCTTAACGCCATGCAGATCCTGTGGATCAACATCATCATGGACGGGCCGCCGGCACAGAGGTGAGGGGACAGAGCCCGGCCCTTTCTGTGAGCAGAGCCTCGAGAGCTCCAGCATGCCCCCCTCGGGAAAGAGGAGCAGCTGACACCCCCCCCCCAACCAAGGCGCTCCGAGAGGTCCTCCCAGGCCACAGCACACAGTCCCCTCTCCCTGCCCGGCCTTCCCTGGAGAGGATGTGTCCATGACTGTGATGTGCCCCACCCCCGCCAGCCCTCCAGCTTCCCAGAGGCAGGCTTTCGTCCTGGGCCCAGCTGGCCGGCAGCAGCTGGAGGCCTGCGGCTCAGCGCGGCAGTTTGTCTAGGAAGCACACTGTTTTGAACATGGCCATGCCATGTTCACCGTGAGTGCTGCTTTTGTCACCAGCGACAGGGCCAAGGGAGACAAAGGCCTGGCTTGTGTCCCCATAGCCAAGGAAAACAGGGGCCGCCCCTGCCCAGAGTCAGCCCTGCAAGGCTGCAGGCCAGCCTGGCTCCCACACCCATGGTGGGGCAGCCCCTCTGAGCCTGCGGGGTTGGCAAAGGCCAGGGTGGCTCCTGCCCTGAGGAGGGCCGAGCAGGTCCTGTGTCCCCTGGGCACTGGGGTTAGGGAGCGTTTGCCCAGCCCCCAGCTCCTGGATCCAGGCCCTTTGGGGACAAAGGTGGCCAGGTGAGGGGGAAAAGGGCGCAGCTGCCTGTCACAGGGTCCATGGGGACCTGGCAGGAGCTTCAGGTGGGGAGAGGACGGTCTGGCCTCGGGTATCTGACCCAGGAGGCTGGAGTATGACCCACTCATGGGTCCTGGCTTCTCTCAGTGTCATGTCTTGTTCTGAACAGCTTGGGTGTGGAGCCTGTGGACAGGGACACCCTAGGGCAGCCCCCGCGGAGCATGGAGGACACTATCCTGAGCAGGGCCCTCCTCCTCAGGATCCTCCTGTCCGCTGCCACCATCATCAGCGGGACCCTCTTTGTCTTCTGGAGGGAGGTGAGTGTCCCGCAGGAACCTGCACTGAGTGCCAGGCAGGGACAGACATGGGGACAGGAGCATCAGGTAGAAGGCAGGAGGTCAGTGGTGTGCAGCGGTGGCCGGGTGGCAGGGGTGCAGGACGAGGGAGAGAGAGCAGGCTTCAATCGCCGGGACAGAAGCTCCCTGCTTTTACTGCCACTAGGAAACTACTGAAATCTAAAGGCTGCCCTTGTCCTGTCCTCTGGGAACAGCGCATGGGTGACTTCACAGCCTACAGGCTCAAGGGGCCACTGACCAAACCGGGAGGGGAGGGAGGGGTGGGGTTCCCTGTGTGGACCGGAGAACACCAGCCATCTCTGTCTAGGCCCCAGAAGTGCAGGGAGCCTCTGCACCTCCCAGCCTGGATACCTGTGGGCAGCAGTGCCCCTGGGAGCCAGTGTGGGGCCCGGTATTCAATCCGTCCCCACTTCTGCTACATACCCCCCAGCAGAGCTTCAGCAGGAGCACTGGTCCCACCAGGAAGGGGGTGTTCAGGCAAGAACAGCCCAGAACCTCCCAGCCCCATTCTCCCCGGAGCCCGCAGCCTCCTGGGTGCAGCTGCCTTGTGGGGCCGCTGCATCTCTGTGTCCCAGGGCTCTGCCCTTTGCAGCATTGGGACTGGGTGACAGCACAGCAGGTGTGGGCGCCAATAGGCTCCAGCGCTGCCCATCCCTCAGGCTCCTGACCCTCCACCATGTCCCAGGTCCCTGAGGACAGAGCCAGCACGCCACGGACCACCACCATGACCTTCACATGCTTCGTGTTCTTCGACCTCTTCAACGCCCTGACCTGCCGCTCTCAGGTGAGCTGGGGCCACCTCGGCCCCTGCTTGGACCCTCTCCTCCCTCCCGCCGAGCCCCGCCCCCCACCCCCACCCCCATCCCGGATCTGGCAGCATAGGCAGGGACAGGTGCGGACCCTGCCCAAGCCGAGGTCCCTTCCTCCCTACAGACCAAGCTGATACTGGAAATCGGCTTCCTCAGGAACCGTATGTTCTTCTACTCGGTCCTTGGGTCACTGCTGGGCCAGCTGGCTGTCATCTACGTCCCCCCACTGCAGAAGGTCTTCCAGACAGAGAACCTGGGGGCCCTTGGTGAGCCGCTGGGAATACTTGTACCCGAGTGGCAGGCCTGAGCCCCACAGGGCAGCAGGGTACCTGACCCACAAGGACACACAACACAGAGCCCAAGAGGCCACCTCCCTGGTGTGGGACCTGGGGCTGGATCGCTTCCTGACACGTGGCCAGAAGTGTGGCCTCTGCAGTCCTGGGCCCAGGCTAGTGTGACTCCCGCATCATCCCACCCGTGGATGGCAGTGGGGCCGCCTCCCACATTAGCTGAAGGGGACTGCTGAGCACCCCTCGTGTGGAGCTAGGGGCTTCTGTCAGTCCTCAGCCAGGTGGGCAGGGGAGTGAAGTCTCTCGGCCTATAGCAGAGGATAGGAGCAAGGCCGGGGCCAAGTCCCTCTGCTATTAGCCCAAGCTGCCCTTGGCCACTGCCACCAGGGACAGAGGGCAGGGGAGCCCAGGAGATGGCCGCCCGAGTCAGAGCCCTGGGTGCTACGGCTTCGGCCCCACCCCCAGGGTCCCAGGAGGGTCAGTCCCATTAGTCTGGACAGATGTGACCACAGGGATTCCAGGCAGGGTCCAGGTGAGGTGCCAAAAAAAACTAAAGGAACCAAAGTGTGTTGCTATACAGATGTTTGTACAGTGGGGAGTCAGAGCCTGGAGGGGCCAGCACCCCATCTTCTGTCCCTGTTACATGACTGACAAGAGAAGGTGGTGGCAGGTCCTGCATGTCTTGCCCCAGGGACCGGGCTGATCCCCTCCTGTCCCCTCCTCCCTGCAGACCTGCTGTTCCTGACTGGCTTGGCCTCTTCCGTCTTCATCTTATCGGAACTTCTGAAGCTCTGTGAGAAACACTGCTCCTGCACTAGGGAAGCCCAGGAGCCAGCCGAGGGCCCCTGACAGCCCTGCGGTGTCTGTGGCCTGGGCAACCCCGGGGCTTCCTGGGCAACCCCGG